TGTAATTCCGTCTTTTTCATTTCTAATTTTATTTATTTGAGGCTTGTCTCTTTTTTTCTTTGTGAGTCTGCCTAAGGGTTTGTCAATTTTGTTTATCTTCTCAAAGAGCCATCTCTTTGTTTCATTGGTCCTTTCTACTGTTTCTTTTGTTTCAATTTCATTTATTTCTGCTTTAATTTTTATTATTTCCCTCCTTCTGCTGACTTTGGGCTTTCTTTGTTCTTTTTCTAATTTTGTTAGGTGTAAAGATTGTTTATTTGAGATTTTTCTTGTTTGTTAAGGTGGGCCTATATTGCCGTGAATTTCCCTCTTAGGACCACTTTTGCTGCATCCCATATGAGTTGGTGTGGTGTATTTTCATTCTCTCCAGGTATTTTTTGATTTCTCCTTTAGTATCTTCAGTGATCCATTGGTTGTTCAGTAACACGTTGTTTAGTCTCCACATATTTGTCACTTTCCCAGCTCTTTTCTTGTAGTTTATTTCTAGTTTCATAGCATTATGGTCAGAAAAGATGCTTGATATGATTTTAATCCTCTTAAATTTATTGAGGCTTGCCTTGTTTCCCAACATATGATCTGTCCTTGAGAATGTTCCATGTGCACTTGAGAAGAATGCGTATTCTGCTGTTTTTGGATAGAGTGCCATATGTATGTCTATGAAGTTCATCTGGTCTGGTTGTTCATTTAAGTCCACTATTTCCTTGTTGACTTTCTGTCTGGATCATCTATCCATTGATGTAAGTGGGGTGTTAATGTCCCCTACTATTATTGTGTTGTTGTTAATATCTCCTTTTAGGTTTGTTAATAGTTGCTTTATGTACTTTGGTACTCCTGTGTTGGGTGCATATATATTTATAAGTGTTATGTCTTCTTGGTGGAGTCTCCCTTTTGTCATTATATATTGCCCCTCTTTGTCTCTCATTACCTGTTTTATCTTGAAGTTTACTTTGTCTGATATAAGTATGGCCACACCCCCTTTCTTTTCTTGGCATTTTTGCTTGTAGTATTGTCTTCCAACCCCTCACTCTGAGCCTCTGTTTGTTTTTAGAGCTGAGATGTATTTCCTGGAGGCAGCATATTGTTGGGTCTTGCTTTTTAATCCGTCTAGCCACTCTGTGTCTTTTGATTGGAGAATTCAATCCATTTACATTTAGAGTGATTACTGATATATGAAGGCTTAATGCTGCCATTTTATTGCTTCTTTTCCTGTTCCTCTGCATTTCCCTTGTTTCTTGTCTGTATATTTCTGACTACCAATTCCCTTTGGTAGTTTTCTGTGATGGTTCTCTTAGTTTTCTCTTTGTCATTTGTGTTTCTGTACTGATTATTTGTTTAGTGGTTACCATGAGGTTTGTATAGAAAATCTCGTAGATGACATATTCCATTTTCTGATAGCTTGTTATTTCCTTAGACTAAGCCGATTCCATCCCTTTTCTCTTCCCCTCAAAGTTATTATTGTCACAAATTATTCCATCTTGTGTTGTGAGTTTGTGATTAAAATGATGAGATTATGTTTATTTTTGATGTTTTCCTTCCCTTTATCGTTTATGTTCTAATTAAGTGTTTGCTAACCTGTTCTGATAGAGAGCTGCAATTTTCTGATTTTGTCTACCTAATTATCTCCTTGTTCAAGGCTTTGTGACCCCGTTTTTTTTTTTTTAAGTATGAGGACCTTCTTGAGCATTTTTTGTGGTGGGGGTGTCTTGTGGCCACCACCTCCCTTAGCTTTTGTTTATCTGGGAAAGTTTTTGCTTCTCCATCATATCTGAAGGATATTTTCACTGGATAGAGTATTCTTGGCTGAAAGTTTTTGTCTTGAGTATATCATTCCACTCTCTTCTAGCCTGTAAGATATCTGCTGAGAAAGCCTGATACGGGTTCCTTTGTAAGTTATTTTCTTCTGCCTTGCTGCCCTTAATATTTTTTCTTTGTCATTAATTTTTGCCAGCTTTCTACTATATGTCTTGGAGTAGGTCTTTTTACATTGATATAATTAGAAGTTCTATTAGCTTCTTTCACTTGTATTTCCAGCTCCTTCCCTGGGTTTGGGAAGTCCTCAGCTATTATTTCTTTGAACAAGATTTCTGCTCCATTCTCCTTCTCTTCTCCCTCTGGAATACCTATAATCCTTGTGTCGCATTTCCTAATTGAGTCAGATATTTCTCAGAGAATTTCTTAATTTCTTTTTTTTAAACTCTAGCATTTATTTATTTACTTATGTTTTTATTATTTTTTTACATACATTTTTTTTTCTCCCGAAAGTGGGATAGTTGTGTATCCCACTTGTAGGTCTTTCTAGTTCTTCTATGTGGGACTCTGCCTCAGCATGGCTTGATGAGCGGTCAGTAGGTCTGTGCTCAGGATCCGAACTGGCGAACCCTGGGCTGCTGAAGCCGACCATGTGAACTTAACCACTGTGCCACCGGGCCAGCCCCCTCTTCATTTGTTTTTAGTCTTAGTTCTCTCTCCTTCTCCATCTGAAGCATCTCTATATTTCTTCCAGACTGCTGATTCTCTCATCCATAATAGCAGCTCTGTTATTCAGGGAGTCTACATTTTTCTTTATCTCATCCATTTTGTTTTTCATCTCTAACATTTCTGATTGGTTTTTCTTTATAGTCTCATTCTCGCTTTTGAAGAAGTTCCTGATTTCTTTGAACTATCTGTACTTTCTTATAACTTGTTGAGTTTTTTTATGATAGCTATTTTGAATTCTCTGTCCTTTAGATTATCAATTTCTGTGCCTTTGGGATTGATTTCGCAGTGTTTTTCATTTTCCTTCTGGTCTGGATTATTAATATATTTTTTCATACTCTTTGATGGCATGGATTTGTGCCTCCTCATAGTGATAGTTTCTGGACAGAGCTTCCCCCTGCTGCCACTGGGTGGTGGTCAAGAGCTATTTATTCTGAGCCCGCCAGGATCCACAGCTTGCTCACATACAGCTGCTGCTTTTCTTTCATATGCGTGCACGGATGCTCTGGCCAACCTGATGAGTTGGAATGCCGAGGTGGGGGGCCACTTTCTTTCCCCTGTGCAACCCTTGAGGCTTCTCGCTCTGTCCTTACTGTTGGCTCTCCTGGGATGCTGGCTTGATGAAGACACCCCTGCAATAGCTTAGCCACCTCTGTGTGAGGTTTTCCCATGGGTTGTGAGGGTACTTGGAGAGGGAAGGTATTCCCTCAGAGGGCCACCTCTCCCCCTCTCCTCTCAGAGCTGTGCATGGTCTCAGGGTCACTGCCGTTCAGGAGCGAGAGGAGATCCCCTTACCTCCTTCCACTTCCTCTGGCTTCCAGCACCTCCACTTTCAGATGTATGGCTGCGTGGGTCTCTCAGATGTCTTTTGTGTTGTGTGAATGTTCTCTGAGAGAGTCTAAGGGAAGTGCTCACTCTGCCACGATGCTGACACCTCTCGGGAGTTTTTAATACTTATTTTTCTCATTATCATCATCCCTTACATACACACCTTGTCCTGGTGACACCAAACACATAGGCTGCCACACTGTAAGGCTTTTAAAAATCTTTATATTGTTAGAACCTGCCATATTGTATTGGTTGAAATGATTGAATGAATATTGAAATGCTACTCTTGGCCACACTGGCCAAGAGGAAGATTTTTAAACTTTATGTTCTTAGATTCCCTCTCATTGCATTTTTTTTTTTTTTTTGTGAGGAGGATCGGCGCTGAGCTAACATCTGCCAATCCTCCTCTTTTTGCTTAGGAAGACTAGTCCTGGGCCAACATCCATGCCCATCCTCCTCCACTCTATTTGGGACACCGCCACAGCATGGCTTGACAAGCGGTGTGTCGGTGCGCGCCCGGGATCCGAACTGGCGAACCCCAGGCCGCCGCAGCGGAGCGCACGCACTTAACCGCTTGTGCCACTGGGCTGGCCCCATTCTCATCGCATTTTTTGATACGATTAGTAGCTCTCCCTGGGCTTCCTATAATCAGTTCTAATACAGGGCTTATGAATCATATGTAGGAAACTCTTTCCTGTTAGAAGACCCTTTAGAATAGCAGATAGCTTAGAAAGTTGTCAGTAGCCTATCATTTGAGAAATTTTAAATAGCAGTTTATTAGGAAAGGTAAACTTTTCCAAGTATATGGGTTGAACATTTCTAAGGATTTAATTTTGCTATACAAAATTAAAATGAAATATTAGTTTATGCTCATCAGACTGGCAAAAATTTTAGAAGATTTTGTAACATCTTTTGCTATTTCTTATGCATTGCTCATAGAAATTTTTTAGGAAAGAGTCTGACATCCTGTATTAAAGTTCAGAATACACATTTCCTTTTGTGAAATTCCATTTATGGGAATCTATCCCACAGAAATGAAAGCACCGATACATAAAGACATAAATAAAAGGATGCTTACTGTATCATTATTTTTTGTGGCTGATAACTAGTCACAAATTTAATGCTGTCATTAGGAAAATCACTGTATACATTATGGTATATTCACCCTGTGGAATATTATACAGTGATTTAATGTTATGAATTAGAGTTACACCAGATGAATAGAAAGGATTTTCATGGGGGTTTTGTTGAGTGAAAACAAGATAAGAATAATATGTATGATAAAATCCCACTCTTGTAAAACCAGCAATGAAATAATTAATAACCCTTTCATGTGTATTGACATGTATATGTATATATGTATGCATGCATAGGATCATATGACTACAGAAGGAAATATTAAGGAACACACTATAGAGTATTAATTTGGCTTTTGAGGGATTAAGGAAATAAAACAAGAAAAGAAAAAAGTACTAAAAAATGCATAAATATCACGTCTGTCTAAAATTATATATGTTGATTATATATGCAAAGATGTTAAAAAAATAATTTCATAGAAACTGCATACATTTCATAAAAAGTTGTATAATATATACATGGAATGGGAAAAGAGTATCTTAGAAACCACAAAATCAAATTCTTGATTTTTGAGAGTTAACTAAGCATACGTATAATTTTGGTTTGTTTTGCTTCCGTAGTAATTCCACTGAATGAAGAAGTTCTGTTAACATTAGGAAAAGAAGAGGTAAGTCACTTAATGAATTTGTAGTAACTCCAAAAATTTATAACTAAAAGTGTTTTGGATAAGTTCATGACATAAGGAGTTGGGTGAAACCACTTTAAAACCATATTAATTTTTCTATTTTTAATACTTTATAATTTTATTTATTTATTTTTCCCCCAAAGCCCCAGTAGATAGTTGTATGTCATAGCTGCACATCCTTCTAGTTGCTGTACGTGGGACGTGGCCTCAGCATGGCCGGAGAAGCGGTGCCTCAGTGCGCGCCCGGGTGCCACCAGCGCGGGTACCAGCAGCGGAGCACGCGCACTTAACCGCTAAGCCATGGGGCCGGCCCCATAATTTTTCTATTTTGATTTTAATTATGTTTTGTTAAACAGAATAGTTTTAAAGAGTTGTAAAAGTTTTGAATTGAGTCCAAAAATTTGAATTTTGAACTCAATTTATATATCAGAACTATTGGTAAAGTTAGTGTTTAATATGTAAACCTTACTCTTGTACTTAATTTTCATTTTGTTAAACTCTCTTTGTAATAAAAGCAAAAAGGTTAAATATAGCTAGATGATGATACATATACATCTATCCTTCTCCAAACTTAATGTAAATGTCAATAAAGACATCTTTTTAAAGTGTAAGTCCATTTGGTCAAAGTACAGGAGAGAAGATAGAAGCAAACAAGAATTTTAATCAAGGTTGTAGAGCATGGAAAGAGATAAGTATCTGTGTGCCTAGGTACAGAAATAGTGATGAAAAGAGAGATTATCTGCCCTACGGAATTGAAGAAAGGCTTGGTATTTGAAGGAACCTGGTACTACGAAATTCAGGGTTCAAGTGTGGCACTAAAAACAAGATACCTTTAAAGTGAGAACACAGTGTTAGAGCTTCTCTCTCTTACAGTCAAGCAGCTAACTTTTTACCTACATACCTGAAAACTCGAGGCATATGGCATAGAGACATTAAACTATTGAGGCTCTGGACTCAGGGATACCAGGTTGGGTGTTTAGTATGGGTGGTGTGCAGGTCAAAAGTCAGAAAGCCCTAGTTAGCATTTTCATACAGTGTGGTGGAAGTACCAGCTCCTTTCCCTGCTCTGTCTCCAGAGGTCCTGTAGCCCAGTACAAAAATAGCCTCCCTGGGGCTACCCTGGTGGCATAGTGGTTAAGTTCGTTGCACTCCGCTTTGGCTGCTTGGTTTGTGGGTTCCAATCCTGGGCACAGACCTACACCACTCGTCAGCCAGCTGTGGCGCCAACCCACATACAAAATGGCGGAAGATTGGCACGAATGTTACCTAAGAGCTAATCTTCCTCAAGTAAAAAAAGAGGAAGACTGGCTGCAGATGTTACCTCAGGGAGAATCTTCCTCAGCAAAAAAATAAAAAAAGAAAATAGCCTCCCTCAGGAGGTAAAATAATCTTTGGAAAATCTAAATGGCCCAAGAAAAAAGATCTATAAGTATTACTACATGGGGCTTTCCAGTGAAAAAGCAGGGTGGCTGTGCTCAAAAAGCTCCATTCATAAACAGAGTTTTTAGTAAGTTTTTGATTTTTAAATATGAATGTCCAGCCAACACTCATCAACATTTGTGAAATGCCTCCAAATGGAAAGGCAGAAACCCAAAATAATTGACAAAGATAAACCTTAAGGAAATAGAGACAATTCAGGGAACAAAGAGAATTTAATAAAATAATATCTTCAGAGAGATAAAAAGATTTGCTGAGTCCACAAAATAACAGAATGCTAGTTTTTAAAAAGGACCACTTTACATCCCCTAGGATGGCTATAATGAAAAGACAGACAATAACAAATATTGGTGAAGATGTGGAGAAATTAAAACACTTATACACTGCTGATGAGAATGTGAAATGGTGCAGCCATTTTGTAAAACGATCTGGTATTTCCTCAAAAGGTGCAAGAGTTACTCTTTGAACCAGGAGTTTCACTCCTAGGTATATACCCAAGAGAAATGAAAATATGTATGTGTCCACATGAAAACTTACACATAAATATTCATAGCAATATTTTTCTTATTAGCCAAAAAGGGAAAACAACCCTAAATGTCAATCAGCTGATAACTGGATAAATAACATGTGATGTATCTATACAATGATGTATTATTTGTCAATAAAAAGAAATGAAGTACTGATATATGTTATAATATGGAAGTACCTTGAAAACATTATGCTAAATGAAAGAAGCCAGTCACAAAGGATCACATGTTATATGATTTCATTTATATGAAATGTTCATAATAGGCAAATGTATAGAGACAGAAAGTAGATTGTTGCTTGTTGATTCAGGCTGGGTGATTAGAGAGGAAATAGTGAGTGACTGCTAAAGGATGCTGCTAACAGGTTTCCTTTTGGGATGTGAAAATGTTCTAAAATCGATTGTGGCGATGTTTGTACAACTCTATGAATATACTAAGAATTATTGAATTATACACTTTAAATGAGTAAGTTGTATGGTATGTGAATTATATCTCAATAAAGCTGTTATTTTTAGAAAGGAGCAATCAGAGAACAAGAAAGTGCCCTTCTAAAGGGCTCAAATTGCTGAAATAAACACAAAAGAGATTGGTAATTATAGTCATGGAAATCTCCTAGATAGTAGTTAGGAAGGGATAAAAAGAGGAAAATTAGAATAATAGAAGATGAGAAAACTAGTGTATCGACGCAAAAGGACAAAATATGACCAGTAGAAGTTTCAAAATGGAAAAAAGTGGAAGGGAAGAAATAATAAAATAAATAATACATGAACATTTTTCCCAGAATGAAAGATAGTGATGATTCTTCTTCACATTGAAAAGGTCCACCAAATTTCTAACATCATAAATTAAAAATGATACATAACTTGGGGCTGGCCCTGTAGCATAGTGGTTAAGTTCAGTGTGCTCCGCTTCGGCAGTCTTGGTTCGCAGGTTCGGACCCTGAGTGCAGACCTACACTGCTTGTTAGCCATGCTATGGCAGTGATCTATATACAAAATAGAAGAAGATTGGCACAGATGTTAGGTCAGGGCGAATCTTCCTCAAGCAAAAAGAGGAAGATTGTCAACAGATGTTACCTGAGGGTGAATCTTCCTCAACAACAAAAAATGATACATGACATAGTGATCCAGCATAATTTTCCCATTGGTAGCGGCCCTTAGGTTAGCAACTGTTGTTTGGACTGGCCAAAATCCAAACTTGATGCAGTGCCAGCATCTGCCTCAACACTCTACTTTCATTTTAACTATTACAGATAAAGATAACAAAGGGATTGAATATTTAGCGTGTTTCTCATTGTTGTGCATTTTCTTATGCATCCAGTGAGCCAACTCTGTGAGAATTGTTTCTATCATGTCTAAATTTCATTGATAACTTCTACCTACGGTAACTGATCACAGTGCAGCTGTTGTCTTATACCTTTGTTGACTTGATAACCATCAGGCATCAAAAATTCATCATAACCTGCCCCGTCATCTTTCTTTTTCCCAAACAGTGCTTTCACCATGTTTCGGCGAGCCAAGGTCGCTATAGCAAATTCCACTTCTGATGCCAACTGTGTGAGGGTTTTCCCCAAGACCACTCTCAGGTTCAATGATCCACTACATGGGCTCACAGGACTCAGAAGAATTATTATACTCATAGTTATGGTTTATTATAGTGAGAGGACATAGGAAAAGGCACATGGACCCAGCTTACAGGAGTCCTTCCCCAGTGGAGTTGCACAGATGCGTTTAATTCTCCCTGCACCTATGTGTGGCCATATGTGCCAAGTGTTGTTCCAGGGAAGTTCACCCAAGTCTTGTCCAGAGTTTTTATCAGGAGTCAGTCACTATGCCTGTAGAGCCTGCATGACTGACCTCAGCTACTCAGACTCCATCCCCCCAGAGCAAAAATCCATTCACCATAAATCACCAAGTTAGAATAAACTCTCTAATCAGATTGGTACCAAGAGGCCCAAGGCCCCAGGCATACAAAAACACTCATGTTAGGCAGAATATTCCAAGTACTCAGAGCTCATTTTCCAGGAGTCCACCAGGGACCAGTCCTGAACACAGGCCTTGCTTGGTAATGTGGAGAGTTTGTGCAACGTTGGCCTGCTGAGTTAACCCTTTCCTGCATACTTGTCTTTTTATTCTCTTAACAGTGTCTCTTGAAGAACATAAGTTCCTAATTTGATTAACTCTGTTTTATCAAGTTTTCTTTCAAGGTTTGTGCTCACATATAAGAATTTATTTAGGTTTCCATTTATTTGGTATTTAAAATTTATCTCACCAATGTTTTGTAATTCACTATATCAATAGACTAAAAAGAGAAAAAAATCCTTTGATCATCTCAATGAATTCAGAAAGAGAAAGTGACAAAATTCAATATGAATTCATGAATTAAAAAAAAAGACTTCATGGGGCCCGCCCCGTGGCTTAGCGGTTAAGTGTACGCGCTCTGCTACTGGCGGCCTGGGTTTGGATCCCGGGCGAGCACTGATGCACCGCTTGTCCGGCTGTGCTGAGGCGGCATCCCACATACAGCAACTAGAAGGATGTGCAACTATAACATACAACTATCTACTGGGGCTTTGGGTGAAAAAACAAAAAAGGGAGGAGTATTGGCAATAGATGTTAGCTCAGAGCTGATCTTCCTCAGACACACACACATACACACACACACACACACACACACAAGACTTCATACATTGTAATAGAAGTGTGCAGGTGTTGTACATGTTTTGTCAAATTCGTCCCTTTAGTGTTTCATATTTTTGATGCTATTAAAATGGTATTCTTTTTTTAAATTTCAGTTCCCAATTATTTATTGCTGGCACATAGAAATACAATTAATATTTATATGTTGATCCTGTATCTAGTGAGCATGATAAACCCCTTTTTTTCTAGTAGCTTTTTGGGATTTTGTAGGATTTTCTACATAGATGGTCATGTCATCTGAGATCAAAGGCACTTTTTCTTATTCCTTTCCATCTGGATACTTGTTATATCTTTTGCTTGTTTTATTGTACATCCTAGAACATTTGGTAATATATTGAATAAAAGTGGTGAGAATGGACATTTTTGCTTTGTTCCTGATCTTAGTAGATAGCATTTACTCTTTCATCATTAAGTGTGATGTTAGCAGTAGGTTTTTCATATATGCCCTTAGTTAAGTTGAGGAAATTACCTTTTATTACAATTTATGAAGTATTTTTTAATCATAAATTAATTTTGAATTTTGTCACTTATTCTTTCTGAATTCATTAGAAGATCAAATTTTTTTTTAGTTTATTGATATTGTAAATTACATTGATTTTTCTAAAATTGATTTTAACTGTTTAACTATGCATTCCTAGGATAAAGCCCACTTTGCTGTAATGTATTAATCTTTTTTATTTATTGATGTATTTAATTTGCTAAAATTTTGTTAAGATTTATGCATCTGTGTTTATGAGAGATATTGGTCTGTGGTTTTCTTTTCTTGTGACATCTTTATCTGGCTTTGATATCATGGCGATACCAGGCTCATAGAATGAGTTGAGAAGTATTCTCTCCTATTCAAAAGAGTTTGTATAGAATAAGTATTATTAATTTTTTAAATGTTTGTTAGAATTCACAAGTGAAGTCATCTGGGCCTGGAGTTTTCTTTGTGGGAAAATTTTTAACTACAAATTCAATTTCTTTGTGGTTAGTCAGGTTTTCTATTTTTTTCTGAATGAGTTTTGGTAGTTTGTGTCTTTCAAAGAGTTTGTCCATCTCATGTAATTTATCGAATTTATTGACGTAAAATTGTTCAAAGCATTCCCCCATTACCGTTTTAATGTTTTTAGTAATGTCACCTCTCTCATTCCTGATGTTGGTAATTTGTATCCTTTTTCCTCCTGTAATTAGTCTGGGTAATTTTGTTGACCTTCTCAAAGAATCAGCTTTGGGTTTCATTGATTTTCCCCTATTTTTCTGTTTGTTTTTCTATTACCTTGATTTAAGTTTATCATTTTTTTCCTTCAGTTTACTTTTTGTTTTATTTGCTCTTTTTCTAGTTTCTTAGGGTAGAAGCTGAGGACATTAATTTGACAGCTTTCTTTTTTTTAATATAGGCTTTTAGTGCTATAAATTCTCATCTGAGTGCTTTTGCTTCATCCCAGAAATTTTGATTTTGTTTTTATTTTCAGACAATTCATAATAATTTCTTATTTTCCTGTTGATTGCTTCTTTGACCCATGGATTATTTAGAAGTGTGTTTTTAGTATCCAAATATTTGCAAAATTTTCCAAAACCTTTCTATTATTAATTTTTAATTTCATTTCATTGTTGGATCATATCTAATGTAATATCAATATGGTTCCCTTGAAATCTACATTCTTGATTTTTCTTTCCTATTTGTCCTACCTTTTCTCTGTTCCTATTTTCCTCTTTTCCCACTTTCTTGGATTAATTGCATATTTTTAAAAATAATCCCATTTTATTTACACTATTGGCTTATTAGTTATATCTTTTCAGTTTTTCATGATTGCTCTAGGGTTTATAATACATGTCTTTAACTTATTACTGATTCAGATTTAGGAAAAGCTAATGGAAACCCTTGACATCAGGAAAATGGAACACTAGCTAATGTATTCTAGAAACAAACGGATACTAGAAAAAGTCCAGAGTTTATTGTAATTCCCTATAGCCACACAGTCTTCTTTGATGTTCCTCAGATACCTCACCCACACTCTTGCCTCAGGGCCTCTGTACTTATGATTCCCTCTGCATGGAACATTCTTTTTTTTTTGAGGAAGATTGGCTCTGAGCTAACATCTGTTGCCAATCTTCCTCTCTCTTATTTTCTTTTTTCTTTTTCTCCCCAAAGTCCCCAGTACATAGTTGTATATCCTAGTTGTAGGTCCTTCTAATTCCTCTATGTGAGATGCCGCCTCAGCATGGCTTGGTGAGGGGCAAGTATGTCTACACCCAGGATCTGAACTGGTGAACCCCAGGCCACCGAAGTGGAACACGTGAACCCAACTGCTGCGCCACTCACTGGGCTGGCCGCAGGAACATTCTTTTGCTAGACAGTGACATGGTTTATCTCTTGCCGTCTTTCTGTGTTGCTAAACTGTTAAGCTGATCAGAGAGGTCTTTCCATATCATACTACCTAATAGAACCGTCCCTGCTCTTCATTCTGTACTCTTATTTTGACTTATTTTTTTTCTTCATGGTACTTAAACTTACTTAAGTTATATATTTGTTTGTCTGGATTCCCCTCTTTGTTCTGTTCACCTTTGCATCCCTGACTCCTTCAACAATGCCTGGGAATCAATAACTGATCAATAAATATTTGTTTAATGAATGATATTCATTTGTGTCTGTTTGTATAGTCTCCTTAGAAAAGAGACCTAATCTACTTTATTAATGAAAACTTACCATTAAACTGCCTTTCAATATGAAATTGAAATATATTGCTCAAAAACCCTTCTTGTATTTTTGAATTTAACAATGAAATATTACAAAGAACTTAGTACCTGCTGTATATTTCCCTTTCAAAGACTTTCTGCTAAGCTTTTTTGCTATTGATTTCTGAACATCAATCCTAGACAATATGTAAATTTCACTATCATTCAGAAACACAACTATTTATGGGATTAAAGACTATGCAATTAATTTGAATTATTTTGTTCTAGTTCCAAAAACTGAGACATGATCTTGAATTGGTACTATCTACTACTCAGTCAAAGAATGAAAAGTTAAAGGAAGACTTGGGAAGGTATATTTATGTTATAATTACCATTAATCATTGATATATGTTGAGTTGGCATTAATTTTTTATTTGGCTGTTGTTTGTTTTGTTTTCCATAATTAAAGGGAGCAACAGTGGTTGGAAGAACAGCAACAGATATTGGAATCTCTTAATGTTCTACACAATGAATTGAAAGAGCAGGTTGTGACATTTTCTGAATCAAGGTACTAAGTTTTGTGTTTTAGCTTTTTAAAACAGGAGAAAATATTTTCATTTTTATGTTACATGAAATATATAGATGAAAAGAAGGTAAATTTCACCAGAAATTATGAGTCTTACCCTACCTTTTGCCCACTATTAGTTACATGATCTTTTATGAATGACTTGACTTGGTTGTACCTTTAGTTTTCCTACATGTTAAATAGAGAATATTATTTTCATAAAGCTAGTTACTTGGTTTCAGCAAATGAAGTTTGAACAAAGTTTTTGATCAACTTTATGAGTAACCAGTTACATATTCTTATGTATTTTATCAGTGAAATATTTCTCTTATTTTTTTAAAATCTGTTAGAGTCTTTAATGAGCTGAAAACTAAATTGCATGATATTAAAGAATATAAGGAGAAACTCTTGATTACCTTGGGTGAGTTTCTAGAAGACCATTTTCCTCTGCCTGATAGAACTGTTAAAAAGAAAAAGGTAAGTTTTAGAGAAGACATTCATGTAGATATTCATATATGAAATTGTTTCAGATAGGTTCAAATGTAAATTTTCTGATAAATTTTTGTATGTTTATTATACGTTTCAAAGATACACACACAGAGATACATGTACAGAAATATTCCATAATCACATTATAATATTTATTGAAAAATTAGGAGCAACCTAGTTCAATAAAGTAGGATTAAATACATTTTTTATATTGTATCTGTAGGTTGGGGAAAATACAGCTTTTAAAAATAATGTATTGGGGGCTGGCCTGGTGGCGTAGCGGTTAAGTGCGGGCGCTCCACTTTGGCGGGCCAGGGGTTTGCAGGTTCGGATCTCAGGTGTGGACCTATGCACTGCTTGTCAAGCTATACTGTGGCAGCATCCCATATAAAGCAGAGGAAGATGGGCACAGATGTTAGCCCAGGGCCAACCTTCCTCAGCAAAACGAGGACGATTGGCATCGGATGTTAGCTCAGGGCTAATCTTCCTCATACACACACAAAATAATGTGTTGAACACTATCAAAGGAGTTAATGAAATGCTCACAATTTATTGTTAAATGGATAAAATACAGATGATTAAATTGAATGAGTCTAATTTGTACCAAAAAATGTAATAGTGCTTATGTCTGGGGGCTAGGATTGTAGTGAGATTTGTTTTTGTTTTTGTTTTCAGTATTTTCTAAAGTTTCGATGATGAACATGTGTAACTTCTAAAATCAGAAGAATGTTCTTTAAAATCTGTTAGTTAATATAAATTATTGACTATTTTAATAGTAGTTATGATGGAATAAACCGTTTCCACAAAAGCAGTAAATATTTCATTGGGTGACAGAAGATTGGGAACAACCACTTTAATTCCTGTTTTAAAAACAGTATATAGTATAAATATATAGAACTTGTGGAAGTGGAATAGGCATTGAAACTGGCACTAGAATGATCTTTCTAAAAAAAAATAGTTTAATCATTTTTCAACATAAAACTTTTGATGTCTCCCTATGGGATGAAGTTCATATTCTGGACTTTGTTTATCTCTTTAGCTTCTTTTCCAAACGTTCTTTATCCATTTGTTACGTGAATTCATTCAATCATGCTACTGTAGTTCCATCAAGTAGGCAATGACCTGTCACTTTTTTGTGCCTGGTACTTTCTATTCCCTCTGCTTAGAAAACACTTCCTATCTGTGAGCCTGGCAAATTTCTATTTAGGCAATTCAAGTATCATCTTTTGTGTGAAGCATTGAATGAAGTTTGTGTCATTTTATTAGCATTTATCACGTGATTTTGTAGTGATCATTTATGTCTATCTCCCTGTTCGCCTACCATGCACTGTGAGCTCCTTGATGTGTCTAACTCATCTTTGTATCTCTATTATCTTGCATATCTATTACAGTACCTTCTGAATTCATATTTATTGAATGACTGTGAGTATATTAGGAAAAGGAGAAAAAATTTTCTTACAATCTGTGTTTTTTTATTCTTCCCTTTCTTCTTTGTAACTATCAGTAGGCTTTGCATTTGTTATGAACTTTGTCTCCCTTTCTATGTGTTGTTATTTATACCCCTTATTAATTTCTGAAATTGTTGACAGCCTTCTGTTAACCGTTTCATTAAGTTCATGATTCACTGATTTTTTCTTTTTTTTGGTGAGGAAGCTTGGCCATGAGCTAACATCCACTGCCAATCTTCCTCGTTTTGCTGAGGAAGATTGGCCCTGAGCTAACATCTGTGCCCATCTTCCTCTGTTTTGTATGTAGGATGCCTCCACAACATGGCTTGATTAGTGGTGAGTAGGTCCGCACCTGGGATCTGAACCTGGAAACATCGGGCTACTGAAGTGGAGTACGTGAACTTAACCACTATGCCACCCGGCTGACCTATGATTTGTTGATTCTTAGTGATCATACTCCTACAATAACTCACTGACTTATTTTTTGATCCTAGTCTCCCTTTTTTTTCCAACTTTTTTTTTAACCTATTAAGTTTCTCCACAATAGAACCAGAGATTTGAGGCATTCTGAAAAGGAAGCGTTGATTACCAGAAGCCATCATAGGTTCATTAAATCATATTTTATAAGCTCACTGTTTTTTAATGAAGTATATGAGCTATTAATACATGTTACAAAATGATAGGTTTCTTTCTCTCTCTCTCTCTCTGTCAAGCAGTAATACTGGATGTATTAGTTGGCTCTAGCTGCCATAACAAAATATTATAGGCTCAGTGGCTTAAACAAAAGAAATTAATTTTTTCACAGTTCTGGAGGCCAGAAGTCCAAGATCAAGGTGCCGTCAGGGGTTAGTTTCTGCTGAGGCCTTTCTTACTTTCTGTGGATGGCTGCCTTCTTGCTGTGTCCTCACATGGCCTTTTCTCTATGTGAGTGTAGAGTCCTTATTATAAGGACACTAGTTCAATCGAATTAGGCTCCCACCCTTATGACCATATTTCACCTTAATTACTTCTTTAAAGGCTCTGTCTCTAAATATAGTCACATTGGGGTTAGGACTTCAACATATGAATTTTGGGAGACACAATTCATTTCCTAACACTGGACTTTATAATTCACAGATGTATACAAAGGATAAAGAAACAACCAAAATCTCTCCACCAGGTCATTAATATTAGGTGAACGTCATATGAGACATCTTCCTGAATACATATATGTGTAGAAACATAAATGGATGGGTGGATCAATGTAACTTTGTACATGCTAATATAAAATAAATATTAGATGTAATTTTACTTAAATTTGATAGAAGAAAAATGAGTGAAGTTGAATTGTTGAACTCAGATAAATATTTCTTTGCTTCAAGTGGTTTGAGTTCTGGAGAGATCTGTAATATAAAGAAAACAAATTATGAAAAACATTATTAAAAATTATAATAGTTTAATTTCATCTTTTAAGTAGTATTAATTGACTCCCTGCTATGAAAGATAAGGCAGTTAACATTCTTCCTCCTATATGCTCGTTTATATTCTGTCCTGATACCATCATTCATGTGTATGTTTAATTTTTATTCTATATTGTATTGGATTCAATGCTTATCATCTTACCATTCATTTTTGATTTCTTAAGTTTAATCCATCATTGGATTTGATAGGTTTCTTTTACAAGTAATGTATTCAAGAAAAATTCCTGGGTGTTTTATGTTTTGAATTCTTGAATGCTTAAAATACTTTATTTGCCTGTATCCTCAAAGGATATCTTTGGCATATTTTTTTTAAATCTCAAGACTTGCTAGGGATTGCTCCATTCTTCTGAGACGGAATGTGCTGTGGAGAAGTCTGAGGCCAGCCTGTAGATGTCTGGCTGATTCTGACTGTATGCCTAAGGAGTTCTTTATCTTTGAACTTCAAAAATGTAACAGGGATATATCACGATGTTAATTGTTCAATATCAGTTTTGCTTTGAGGATATATTATTTCCAGGGGCAGATTTATGTCACAATTCATTTCAAGGAAATTTTATTTTATGTATCTTACACTGTTTATCATATCTTTATGTTGAAACATTTTTTCTTTACTTGCTTTCATTATATTTTTCCTCTGCATTTTCTTTGATTGTCTCAAACCTTTATATTTTAATCTGTGCCTTGCTGCTTATTATTTCTTTATCAATTCTATAATTGTGTTTTCTTCGATCACTAGTAAATCATATGCTGCTTTTTACCACTCTTCCATTTGGTAAGGTGTTAGAGGTCAGGATATTTTAAGATCCGGCTTTACTATCTTTACTCAGGAATCACATTTTTGTCAGGGTTATTTTACTATTTCTTTAATGTATTTGTGTTTCTTTAAGACGTTATAAGGACTTCATGGCAATCTTTGGTGTCAGGAAAGTACTAGCTGTCAGTATAGTAGGTGACTTTGCAGTTAATTGAATGTCTGAACTCAAAAGCTGCTGATTAGGATTATTATTATTTTGAAAGATTTCTAGCAGTTTTTCTTAGAGCTTTGTCCTATTGAACATTTTTGACAGTAATTTGGATAAAGAGGTATAAGATGTGGTCATCAAAATTTGCAAATGATATAAAACTAAGAAGGCTAGATAGTAAATGTATTGGATGACAGAATTAGGACTATATTTTTCAGCTGGCCAGGAACTAGGCCGAGTAAAATAGGATGATATTTAGTGAAGGTGCATAAAATATCTTTCTTGGATTTAAAACATTAAAGAATGAAGGAGACATAACTTAGCTACAAGTATGAAAGAGACTTCGGCATTTTAGATGATAGTATGCTCAGATAGAGGTCAGCAGGATGAAATAGATGTCCAAGAGCTAATGCAATCTTAAACTTAATAAATGGAGTTCCATCATCTACGAGTATGAAGTGAGTGTTCCTTTTCATCTTTGGTGTTCAAATCACATCTAGATCATTGTGGAGGCTGCATTACAAAAAAAAAAAAAATAGACAAATTAGAGTACATTCAGAGAGCAACCATGATATTGACGGGCCACAAGTCCAGGGCTTATGAAAAATAATTGAAGGAACTGATGATGATTAACATGGAGAAGACTTGAGGCTCATAATAGCTGTCCTCAAATATTGGAGGAATTCTTGGATGGAATTGGAATGAGATTTATTCTCTGTCATTCCAAGGAAAAAAGAACAAGTAACTTGAGTTAACATGAACCCTCAAGAACTGTAGAAAGATGAACAAGGCTCCCTGGAAAGCCTGTCTTAAAGGTTGTTTCAACCGCATTTTTGTGAACATGACTGTGTAATACAAGCAGGTTGTTTCCTTTCGAAATTCTTTTTAAATCATCTAATTATAAATGTTTGGTTTTAGTACACCTTGGTACCATTGTAATTAAATATTAATTTTTTAAATTGTGTAATGAATACACAATTTAAAATCTGCCATTTGCAGAACTGAAATGTTAATTGTTTGTTATTCACATTTCTCTCAAAGAAAAACATTCAAGAATCAACTACACAGCTGATAACACTGCATGAAATGTTAGAGGTAAGTGTTTTGTGTAGTTATTTTGTCTTGAAGATGTCTCTTAATTAGTGATTTGTGAACAATTATACACAGGCTTAAAACGGAAAAAATACTGCTTTAGTTCTTAAAGTATACACAATCTTTATTAAATATATTTATTTTATCTTTAGTATAAAATTAGTTTTTGTTTTCTATACAGTACTAGAAAGAATATTGTCATTTTTTAAAAGAACATGAAATTAGAGTCTAACCCTTAATCATGTTCCCAACATTATCACCTTAAGAAAATTTTTGTGATGTTATTTAGAATTTACACAGTGAAACCCTATGCTGTTACATTGATGGAATCTTTAGTTGGTAACTCTGTATTCTATCTAAAATATGTAAGTGAGCTTAAGGATTCTTTTCACGAAGTTGCAGAAATTTGTGCACAGTTTTTCCTGAAATAGCATCAGCCTCTTTTTCATGATATAAGAACTGAGTAATTTCAACTTTTTCTGCTTGACATTTATCTTTTTTACAAATATCTTTCACCTTTTTAAAAAAATGTTTTGAACTTCGGTCAAATTATCAAGTATATTAAATATTTTAGATCTTGATATGACAATGCATTGCAAATTGAGTAGAGAAAAAGATAAAATAGTCTATGAAGAGCAGGATATTTGACAATGTGTGCCTTTTAAAAATCATCAAGAAAAAGTGATTTCAGAAAACTTGTTTCATTATAACTTTATGAATTGGGTGCTAAAGTGTCTATTTTTATTCAGCTAAGTAGTTTTGGTGCCTCAGGATATCTTAATATAGAAATATTATTGCGCTGAAAAGCAAAATACAAATATTTATTAGATTTGTGATTAGAATCTTTTAACGTATTTCTAGTTACTCCAGTTTATACTGAAACTAAGAAACTGCTGCTTCTTAAGGATGAGTTAACTTTTCTTAAAATAGAAGTTGTCATATATGTGGCAAATATTGACAGGTATTAACTGAGAAATACATGTGTAATTTTGGAATAGTATACTGTTTTGTATCTTATAAAACTTAGAAACTGTTTTTGTCTCCAAGGCTAGTATTATCAATGATAAAAGTAACCAATATTTAAAGTGCAATTCAGTGAAAAATAAAACAATATACGTGTTCATTTTAAAGTTGAATTTTTAGCATTTAATTATTTCTGGCATCTATTAGAATTTCGATTAATATAATTGAAATTAGAAATGCAAGGTAGGAAAGATCTTAAATTGTGTTAAAATAAGCAGTTGCTCTGAAATAGGAATAATATTTAATTCTTTATTATCATACCTAAAAGAAACGAGACCAAAAGATTTTTTACCCAGGATGTGGTACTTGAAATAGCTAAAGGTAATAGTAGATGAAAATTTCATTTCAAGAATTGAGATATTTATATTATTATGAAATGTGATGGAGATAAGAGCTTCATAGTTTAATTTTATTTCTGTGACACTTTATTTTGTATAAATTATGCTTTTTCTTTTCTATGTTTCTTAAAATAAAATCTTTTAATTAAAGCTTTGGCCTGGCAATTCAGAGATATGGAGTCTAATCCATGATCTGCCACTAATTATGTTCCCCTTGGGGGAACTCGTAACCCTTCTGAATTCTTATTTTGTAATTTGTGAAGGCACTGTGTGGTAGCTGAGGAGGCAGAGTAATAATTGATATATATTTAGCATTTTTCAGTATGTTTCATAGAACATTAGTGTCCAAAGAATTTTAAATATGTGTTTCTTGAAAAAACTTTCCTAATGCCAATGGATTTGGGAAAGACAGGATTCTCAGTGTCCATTAGCATTCTTTCCCCAGCTTATTTGAACATAGAACCCTGTTTTTCAAGACTAACAACATCCTTAGGGAGACCAATTCCATGGAAAGCAGTTTGGGAAATGTTAGCCTATATAATTAACTACAAATACTCAAAACTTTTCAATTTGTGGTTGTAACCCCTCAACGTCCTTAGTGAAGAAGTGAAAAATATTCAGGATGAAGTTGAAGGAAATGATGATAGAATTGTTGCTTTGAAGATTTATCAGAAGACGACGTGTCTTTTTGGGGGGGTGGGGTTGGTGATTTCTTTTTCCCTCAAATATTAAGACATGTATACTTACTTTTTTGAACTTTGTGCATATTTTGTTGAGTAATTTAAGTTTCTTAATTTTATTTTTAAGAAATAATTATAACCAAACTTCTAACCTAAAGAAATCATTAATCCTAAGAGAAGTGGGAGAATTGCAAATGCCTTTTAAACAGTTTTTAGGAAATGTTTTTAATTATTCAAAGAGAAAACTTTCATTCTTTGGTAAAAAATGTTATTAATGTCTTATAGTTGTATCAATTTTTTCCCAAGTAAGGTATATTTTGAATGATATTTTTTCCTAGATTCTTTTAAATAGATTATTTGATGTTCCACATGATCCATATGTCAAAATTAGTGATTCTTTTTGGCCACCATATATTGAGCTGCTCCTGCGTAATGGAATTGCCTTGAGACATCCAGAAGATCCAACCCGAATAAGATTAGAAGCCTTCCATCAGTAAAAGATGGTCTCTTTTTCACACAGTACTCAAAGAATCTTGTCATTCAAGGATAATGGAAACACTGAGGATTACTTGGCTAAAGAACATTATTTGCAAATCGAAGCACATAGTCCATCTTCCTTTTATCCTTAAAATGACACACACTGCCATTCATTTAAAAATGGTCCTTTCATGTGCAGTCAGTGCTTTGGTGTTTTAAACTAGATGGACAAGAATGCAAGTGAAAAGTATTCTAGACTTAATCATTACAAAACATTTAATGTATCTTACTTTTGCAATATTCTTTGGCAAATTCCTTGGTAATTAATGATATTACTAATGTAACATTTTCCTTTTAAAATTTATAACAGTTTCTTTTAGGCATTTTGAGTTGTAGTTGGTGCTTTACCTCCTTTAAATTTAGGAATTGTAATGCAAAGGCCATTTAATTTGCAGATGGCTTTAAAATTGACTTAGTATCTGATGTAGAAGGAAGCATAATTTAAAAGTATATAGTAAATTGTTCCATGTGTACTGTCTTATTTCTAGATTTGTCAAAAATTGAAATATAAAAAACTAATGGATAAAGGTAGCATGAAAACTATATTTTAAAGTATATTATGTAACAAGTGATATTATATATTAAACCGCTCTTGACTCTGTTACTAACAAAATTGTGTTCATAAAATTTTGTTTATTCTCTGTGACTTTTCTGTAAATAAAATTCTGTCATCTAAAAATCTCTAGCATTTTTTGTGATGTGGCATGATATTTTAATAAATTAAATAGGTCTTTTTATAGATAGATAAATGAAAATATTATAGGACTCATTCAGGATTACATACAAGCTAAACTAGAGAATTCCAAAACAAGTTAGTATCATTAGTTTTCTAAGAGGACTTAACGTGTACTTTTACATTTGAAAATGCTTTCTACTATATATCATCCAAGTTTCTTGCTTACCTTAAATACTTCATCTTTTCTAAAGTAAGCAAATAATATTCCAAGTATACTTTGTCCTTTCTATAGAATATGCAAATACTATTATATTGTAGTGAATGTAAGTTCTCTTATGGGAAGATGACATATAAAGTACCTTCCTAGAATACTCCAGTTGGGAGTCAAAGGAATGAGCAACTTTTTATTCCTTGAAGTTACTGGAGAAGGGAGAAATGGTTCTGGCATTATAAGTCTGACAATAATTCTACAGATGAAGTAGTGCTGTGGTCCGTGGACTTCTCTGTGTTGTGAATTACAGAAAGAAATAGATAAGGGCAAAAAACAATTTGATGATTTATTTGGCAAGTATTCATTTCACATTTTACTGATAAATCTGCTGGTTAGGATCATTTTACTACAGTATCTTGTATAAGGCTCTAAAGAAAACTATGATGATTGCATCCTACTTTAATTCATTAACCCAGGCTTCTTACGTAGCAAGATTATTCACCCACTTTTGATCTCAATCATAAGCAAAGTAACTTATAGTTGAATTAGTCTTGATTTGTACTCCATCTAAGCTTACATCCCTGGAAGCTTTTTGTGGTTTTGAGTATGTTGGAGAAAATGTTTCAAGTTCTGAAGACCTATATGTATTTTTACTTTTCACTGATTTAAGAAAATCACCTGAAATCTATTAAAATTTAGAATTTGTTTTTATTTCACCAGCTCTTAAATATATGCAAAATATCTGAAAGTAATACCACATTCTAGCTTTCCCACACCAGATGGTGATGTTAGCCTAACTTAAAAACAAACATTTGTTTTAGTCTACCACAAAATATATTTAACTTTGTTATTGGTTGATGTGTATGCATGGATTGATTTGGGAGAAATTAAATCTCTATTTGGTTGAAAATTCAGCCTAGTTGAATATGACTTTGTTGAGTCTTATCCTGTGTTTTATATGATTGCACATCTATATTAACATTTTTGACTACCTTATTTTCCTTAGTTTACTTTTTTGTTTATTTAGCTAACTTTTAGTTTACTTCTTTGTTGCTTTTACCAGGAATTATATTTTTCAATTGTATACAACATCTTATTCCAACTTATTTTCTGATAATTACTAGTAAATGATTAACAATAATAACTAAGAATGGTAAATGAAATGTCCTGTTGCCCTTTTAGTATTTTCTAATCAAAACATTAAAAATATGTAATCTTTATGCTTGCAATGTCTACTGTTAGACTATATTTTTTCTAAAAGTTTTTATGGGTCTGACAATATGCTACCAGTTTCTAAATGCAGCATTCCAAATACTTTATGATTATTGTTACATTTTATGACATGTGGACTCAGAAACATCAATTAGTAAAGTGAAAAATTGCATACTATTACCTTATTTTTAATATTTTTCTTAGTTTGTTGTCTGTCTTCCAACCTTGTGTGGGTTGAATTTCCCTTTTCATTGCATTCAGTGATTTTAATTTGTAACTGCTTTTCAATTATACAAAAAATAAATGCATTCTTTTTTGAAGAATTATTACAGATAAATCTAAGTTACCTTTGACCACATTTCCATTTTGGGTTCTCCCCCACTGATGAGGTAGCCACTATTTGATGCATGCTATTAATTTTCATGTTACATTATCATATTTTCCTACCATTTTACTATGTCCAGGATGTAATAAAATCCATCTTAACTATAAAATCCATCTATTCACTATCCCCATATAAAATTTCTACATTACAATGTTTACTGTTAATACAATTCTATAATATAACAATATAATTTGGCTTGTTCAATTGTATTAATTTTCTGGAAAGATAATTGTGATTAATGTAATTTTAAAGTAGTTTTTTAACTTTTCTGAGTAATAAATGATTCTTTTGAACCCCAGAAGTCCTCTATTCTTTGAAACAATATAAGAAGCAATATTTGCCATCCTTTTCAATTTATACATGGGTGTGCAGGAATCTGGGCAAGGGAAGTAGCAGGAATAAGTGATATAATTATGGATAATTCAAATGAGCTAGACATTAACATAATCTGATGGGAGGAAAGTGCTTACATTCTCTTGAATGCTTTGGTTAATCTCCTGTAATATATTTGTCTGTTTGGTCATTATTACTTACTAAAAGTACCAAATTCTTTTCTAGCTGGTAGCTAATTTGGGGTAGCTATTATAAAGATGGAGAGAGAAGTATCTTGAGCCTCAGTAATTTCATTTTTTGGATTTTTGCCATTCCTGCTATTTGTTATAAGACATACCTAAAAAGTTAGGTCTCTGTATCCTCTTTTAATTGTACTTTGTGTCCTCTTTTAATTATATTATGAATGTAAAATAAAATCTTTTATTTTTTCTTATTAATCTAACATAACAGTGTATTCAAATAATAGCCACAATGTATTCTGTGATTATAGCTTATGTTAAGTAAAATGATTGACAACAGTGTCATTTTACCTTCTCTAACACTCTTCCTTTCTTTATGTAGATCCAAGTTTCTGACCCTACATCATTTTCTTCACTCTGAAGAATTTTTTTAACATTTCTCACAAGGCAAGGCAACTGGCAACAAAATCCCTGAATTTTTGTTTGTGAAAGTCTTCTTTTTTCCTTCACTCTTGAAAGATAATTTTACTGGTTACAGAATTCTAGGTTGGTGTTTTTAATCTTTAAAAGACTTTAAATATTTCCCTCCACCCTCTTCTTGCTTTCATAGTTTCTGAAGGGAAGTCTGATGTAATTCTTATCCTTATTCCTCCATTTTAAGGTTTTTATTCCTCTGGCTTCTTTCAATACTTTGTTTTTGCTTTTCTGCAGTTTGAATACAATATGCCTATCTGTAGATTTTTTTGATATTTATCCTGCTGAGTGTTTCTGAGCTTCCTGGATTTGTGACTTGGTATCTGTTGTTATCATTATTACTTCAAATATTTCTCGTGTCCCTTTCTTCTCCTTCTGGTATTCCCATTACATGTGTGTTAAACCTTTTGTAATCATCTCACAGTTCTTAGATATTCTGTCCTTTTTTGTTCTTTCTTCTGTTTGCATTTCAGTTTTGGAAGTTTCTATTGACATATTTTCAAGCACGCTGATTCTTTCTGTAGTCACGTCCAGTCTATTGCTGAGCCAATCAAAGGCATTCTTCATTTCTGTTACATTGTTTTTGACTTTTAGCATTTCCGTTTGATTCTTTCGTAGAGTTTTCATCTCTCTGCTTATATTACCATCTGTTTTTGGATGTTATTTACTTTTTCCATTAGCACCTATAGCATATTAATTATAGTTTTAAATTCCTGGTCTGATCATTCCAAAGTCTCTCTCATATCTGAGTCTGATTCGTATGCTTTTTCTCTTCAAAATGTCTGTCTTTTTATGTCTTTTAGTATGGCATTTAATTTTTTGTTAGTCCAGACATGATATACTGGATAAAAAGGAATCTGGTACTGGCTCCACTGACTGTTTTTCCTCCTGGGCTTCTGCTCTGGTAACTGTGATGTTATATATCTGTCTGTCTCTCCAATATTTGGGGCAGCGAATTGCCCTGTGACCTCAAATTCTCTGCTATATCTAAGAAGATTTGTTGATTTTCAGTTTGTTCAGCTATTTTTCTTGTTGTGAAGACAGATGTGAGACTTAACCTGTGGCATTGGAATCAAGAAGTCTGACATTGACAGCATGTTGTAAGGGATCAGAGGGAGGAATTGGAAATACTGGTATAAAGTATTTGCATTACTTGTTATGTGGTGTAATGTTATTTCAAAGTGAAGTTGGATTAGTTCTAAGTGTATATTGCAAACTCTAGGGCAATCACTTAAAAATTTTTTTTTAAGTATAATTGATGTACTAAGACAGGAGAGACTGAATCAAAATGCTTGTTTAAACTAGAGAAGTCAAAAAAATGGAAAACAAAAAGGACAAGGGCAAGAAATAGAAAACAGTAGCAAATATGGTAGATCTCAATCCAACTATATCATTAATCACTTTATTTTATTTTTTTTTTTTTAAAGATTTTATTTATTTAATTTTTTCCCCCCAAAGCCCCAGTAGATAGTTGTATGTCATAGCTGCACATCCTTCTAGTTGCTGTATGTGGGACTCGGCCTCAGGATGGACGGAGAAGTGGTGCCTCAATGCGCACCCGGGATCCGAACCTGGGCCACCAGCATTGCAGCGCGCGCACTTAACCACCAAGCCACAGGGCCAGCCCTCATTAATCACTTTAAATGTGAATGGACTAAATACACTGATTAAGACAGGACTGTCAGAGTGGATGAAAAAACAAGACAACTATA